AGGACACTGCTCTCCGCGGTAGTATCAGCAAGAGGCTGCTTCAGTCTGGTTTTGGACTTGTGCTACGACCTTTTGTGACATGCTGCAAGCCGGCAGCAGGGTCTGGGTTCTTACGCGCTAACACCTGCGAACACGTAGCACGAACCGGAGATTGCGTTGTAACATAGCGATGGACGCATTCATGTCGCCAACGGGTTGACTCAGTAGCAGCGCATCCCTTCGTCAATCATTCCGCCCGAAGGTCGAACATAGATAGCCTGCTGTCTAAAGCTGGGTTGGTAATTCGTCCGTGTCAGAGCCAACATGATTAGAAGTCAGCGGGCAGCTGAGGCTGCGTACCGTTTTTGTGGCTGTTCAGAGTCTGATGAGCATCGGTCGAGGCCTAATTCTTAGCAAACAGAGGTATTGGCGGTCCTGACCACCTCTTACTAACGTGCTGCAACACGTCTACGTCGGTCGCCCGCGTACCATGAACTATCGCGTCAGTCACCCACATAGCGCGATTTCCTCTACCGCCTGCAGATCTTCTCGCCGTAAGTCGCCCGTTTCCGTTTACGGTCCAGCACATGTAGACTGTATACGCAGTACCCACGCGCCCCCAGCATCAAGCGACCATCGCTTAGCATGCAGAACCTCAGCTTTTAGCACCCGTTTGCTAGGGTACTACGGATGCAGCACATACCCAAGAGACGAATGATTTCTGCTTCTTCCGTCTACCTGTCATTCTTGTCTTATTTGTTTAACGAGAACTGTTAGATCTTTTGCATCGGCTTTCCGAGACCATGGACGAGGGACAGCCACCACCCGGCGACGTGGTTGCCCCTCTCACAGGCGCTCCACTCAAACGCCGACGGGCTGACTCGGAGAGTATCTCGTCGATCGAGTCTAAGTACGTTGCTGTCTTCTATTCTTGCAGTTATTTGCCACTCTGCGTTGTGACGTGGTCGTTGGGGCACCTGGGCAGATCCACTCGGCAGTCTCCAAGGATCAACAACGATTGCTGTAGCCTTACGGGTGATCAGCCACCAAATACCATCGCACGGCGTACAAAGCTGACGCCTATCTCGACAGTCGCTCTGTCCGCACATTAGCTTCCGACGATCTAGAATATTTTCATGAAAATGGACGAACGTACGGCAATGAAACGTACTACCTACCATGCGTATACAAGCAGCACAACGACTTTGTAGAGCAGGATCGTTTGTCTCTACAGCATGAAATCTTCGTCCGAGCACTTCATGGCAAGCTTACCACTGCGAAATTACTGCCTACTACCCGAAGAATACTCGACCTGGGCACTGGGCCAGGTCACTGGGCTGTTGCCATGGCGCGTCAATACCCGCACGCGGAGGTTGTCGGAATTGACATGACGGAATGGGATATAGACACCACCGAAGCCACGTTGGGTGATGCCAGGGTGACATGGGAGCTGGACGACCTTGACGTCTGGGGAAAAGAGATGGATGTCGACCAGCTGATCAACCAGCTCGCTACTCTAGATCTAGCCAATGAGTTGGCTAATCGGACTCCCATCGACGCGCTGAGGAAGCCCAAGTCAACAGTCGATCTCAGTCAGCAAGGAAGGGAGCCTACGCCCGAGGAGCATTTGACAATTGATCTCTCAACACTTACCCCCCAGCCTGAACCTGGCTGGCACTTTAGCGACTCCTTTGAGCTCATACATTTACGGAACATGAAGGGCTCTTTTACGCACTGGGAAGACGTATATGCCGAGATCTACAAGAGCCTTTCACCCGGTGGATGTATCGAACTCGCAGATTGGGATCTCGGCCAAGTGCCTATGGGCCCAGGGGAGATCACAGCAGCAAACATACCCATGCCTACCCTACGGAAACTCTACGTGGCGTTCATGGAAGCATCATTCAAATCTGGCCGTCCACTCGGCCTCTTCTACATGCACCATACCTATCTCGAAGAAGCAGGCTTCGAAGACGTCCAGACGACCCAAGTCAACGTGCCAGTCGGACAATGGCCAAAGGACGAAGCGCAGCGATCGCTTGGCAAGATGATGTTTGTGCTTGGTATGGAGATGTTTGAGCCGGTTTGCTTGAGGCTGTTGACGCAGTGGGGGAGTAAGACGAGGGTCTGGACAGCGGAGGAGTTGAGAGCTGATATATTGGTCGCGCAAAGAGAGATTTATGATTATGTTGAGCGGTCGGAACGGGGGGAGGTGGAGGGGTGGTGTGCAAGCTTCAAGTGGGTTACCGCTAGGAAAAGTTGGCACGCGGACAAGTGACCTCGGGAGTGATCGGCTGATGTGTTTGTTGATACTCGCATATTTGGGGAAGGCGGTAATGTGGATTGGATGTCGGTATTATGAGGCACGACTACTTTGCAGAAAACATCTCCGCTACAATGCACATCGACTGATACCGCGCTTGCCCGTATGTCACCGACGCAATGGGCTTTCACTTTACCGAATCCATCCTTGGGTTTTTGAGTTTGCATCGATGACCTGCCAAGGAATATGGAAAGGGAAGTCACCACCCATCATTCCAGCCGAGCACGGCAAGCACGCTGGTCGTACAGAAGCCATCGGAAGGTGGAGCCGTAGCAATGACATATATTCAAGCAACAAAGCCGTAAGGCCACATTTGCAAAGCTTTCTTCCCTCAAACGTCCAAAGATGTCTACAAACCTCTCAGCCAACGAGCTCTTCAACGTCAACGGCATAGTAGCCGTCATCACAGGAGGCGGAACTGGTAGCCCACCCACATACCAGACCCAACAGCACTCCTCTAACAACGCCAGGCATTGGCTTGATGATGGCCAAAGCCCTAGTAGCCAACGGCGCCCACCGCATCTACATCGTAGGCCGCCGTCCAGACGTCCTCCACTCGGCCGCCAAAAGCATCAACCCAGAAACCGTCATCCCGCTACCCGGCGACGTCACCTCACGCGAATCTCTTCTCTCAATCGCAAAGCACGTCGAGACCGAAACAGGCTACATCAACCTCCTAATCTGCAACGCAGGCATCATGGGCCCGAAGCCGCTCAAAGCAGCACCAGGATGCGCCGCGCCGTCAGTCGCAGAGTACGCAGCACACGCGCTCGAGACGCCCATGGCCGACTTTACCAACACGTATGCGGTGAACAACACGGCGGTATATTATACGGCGCTGTCCTTCCTCACGCTCCTCGACGCGGGAAACAGCAGGAAAACCGCGCACGCTGACGTCCGTTCTCAAATTATAACGACATCGAGTATCGGCGGTTTCTCGCGTTTACCCGGCGCGTCATTCGCTTACAATAGCAGTAAAGCGGCTGTTACGCATATGACCAAGATGCTGGCTACGGCGTTTGTGCCTTACGGTATCCGTTGTAATGTACTTGCGCCGGGCATTTTCCCGTCAGAGCTCGCGATGGGCATTATTGGGTCGTTGGAGAAGGGACCCAATGGGGAGGTGGATAGGAGTGTTGTACCGGAGGGCAGGACGGGCAAGGAGGAGGACATTGCGGGCGCGGTTTTGTGGATGGCGGGAAGGGCTGGGGGGTATTTGAATGGGAGTGTGGTTGTGGTTGATGGGGGGAGGCTGGGTATGTTGGCTTCTACGTATTGATGTTGTTAGCAGGAAAGTATTGAGATGGGATGGTTTGTGTCTTGCATAGTCATTGTGGAATTCGAGATGGATATAGTCTAGGGACGGTGCATGGTGTTTTACGTTAGGCGTGTACCCTGAGTGACGCAAGCCGCCCCCACTAGCGCGTTTCTCCCTGCATTTGCGGAGTCGAACACACACCTCCGAAGACGCTTGCCAAACCTCGACTACCATGCGCGCGTGCTGACCACGCGACCATGCCTGCTCCAACACACAGGCTCAATTCCAATGAGCTGTTGAATTCGCCTGGTTTCCTCGGCGCGGCCGCGCGCTTCTGGCAGGTGAGCGAATTCATAATGAGGCGTGGTTTACGCATGGACAGAGATAGCTAACACACATCTGCAGCGCTCGTATGCCTCGGATTATGTTGGCATTGCCATCTTAGTATGCGGGTACATACTGGTGCGTAATCACAATACCAGAATGAACCCTCAAGGTTTCAACAAGAAAGCAAGACTGACAAACTAGGCACAGATACAATTCCTCGCCGAACCCTTCCACCGCATGTTCTTCCTCGACAACCTCGCCATCAACTACCCCCACGCAGAACACGAACGCGTCCCCGTCTCCTGGCTCTTCATCTACGCCGGCGCCGTGCCCCTCGGCGTCCTCATCGCCTGGGCCCTTGTCCTGCGCCCCGGAACGCACAAAGCGCACGTTACAATCCTCGGCTGGTTCATCAGCATGATCCTCACCATGTTCATAACGGATGTGATCAAGAACGCCGTCGGTCGTCCTCGTCCCGATCTCATCGCTCGATGCAAACCCGCTCCTGGCACGCCAGCACACCAACTCGTCACCTTTGACGTCTGCACCGAGACAGATCATCACGTTTTACACGACGGGTGGCGCAGTTTCCCAAGCGGACATAGTAGTTTCTCCTTCAGCGGCCTCGGCTACCTCGCCCTCTTCATCGCAGGCCAATGCCACGTCTACCGCCCACGCGCCGACCTCGCCCGCGTCCTCCTCGCTCTCGCACCCCTGCTTGGCGCAGCGCTTATTGCGATTTCGCGTTGCGAAGACTATAGACATGATGTTTATGATGTTAGTGTGGGGTCGGTACTAGGTATGGCGGTTGCGCATTATACGTATAGGAGGTATTATCCGGCACTGCGCAATCGGGGGTGTGCGGAGCCGTTTCCTAATCCGGCGGATGAGAAGGGCTGGGGGAAGGTTAAGGGGGATGAGGAGAGTTTGAGGAATGCGGAGGAGTTTGAACTGAGTGATCTGGAGGAGGGGGATGAGGAGGGGAGGATGTTGAATGGGCGGCGGTGAGGGTGAATGGGTTTATACGGAGGTGTTATATCATGGACTGAGATTGGTATTTCTATCATATCATATCACATCGTATTATACGCAAATCGCAGGAGTATGGGAGGTTCAAGGCCCCTGTGCGCTGTTCAAGCCCCGCAATTCGTCCAGAAGCTTAGTCCGTTCAAGCTCATACCGTTGCTTTTGTACGTCATCCGCACCAGATGCGCCTCTTCGCTCCCTCTGATCAAGCCGACGGTTTTCTGCTTGGTCCAACTGGCTGATCAAAGCAGGTATCTCCTTCACCCGATTCTGTGGCCCGGTGTTACTCTGGCCCGTTGGGCCCACTGTAGCTTCCAAATGTGTCAGTGAAGGGCGATAGTAAGAAGAAAGGTGACTCTTAGTCTTACCTGGAGTGCCCGTGATAGGCGAAGGGTTTAACAACGACCCGAACGTTGATTTGAGGGAGGTACGTAGTGCTTTCGATTTCCCACCCAAGGTATCCCTTGCCTGTACAAGGGAATCTTCGATGGATTGTAGGTGGATAATTGGAGACAAACTGGGTACGATACTAGACGTAGCAGCCAATATTTTCGCAACTCCATCCTGAAAGATACTTAGGTCGTCGATGGTCTCTTCGTCCAGGATTACGTCGAATTGAAGGTTGTTCAAAACATGAAAGCGGACCTTCTTAAACTCTGGGCTCTGGGGATGGGCCTCAGATTTAGAGACATGAACGGCTACGTCTGCGAAACCGCTAGTATACTCGAGTGATCCGTCAGCTAACTCAAGCACTTCGCAACCGTATTCGCGTAGAAGATCGTATTTCATAGCATACTCGCCACTGACCAAGGCAATCTCTGACCCGGTGTCCGCAGCTGCAAATCCTCTTCGCCCATCAATAATGCATGCAACTTGATTGGTTGCATTTCCCACTGCACATAGTCGTAGAGAGCGCTTCCAAGTCGTCGGAAGGTCCACCATGCGTGATGTGTATTTGGTGATGGTCTCTGTGGCCTGAAGGAACGTCATGCCAATGAGCACAGGTAGGGCCAAGCGTTCGAACACGTTGAACCGACAGGTTATAGAAGCCGCTTCCGAGCCTACCTGTCTAGCGAACTGGACCGCTACAACAATTTGACCCACGGCCTTGATGATCTTGCCATTCGGGAGCTGGAAGCCTGGTTCTGTATCAGGACTCGGCTCGATGGTATATCCCAACTCGATTGCTTTAGCAAGAGACATGTGGTTGGCGTGCGTTCCGGTGTCGTAGCAGGTCATAATCTCTTGTTGTCCACCATGGGCTTCGAGAAGTAGTGGAAGACCTCGACGGCGCCCTTTCAGGTGGTTGCCTTCCATAGCTACCCTATCTCTTTCCTGTGCCATGATCTCTTGCATGTATGCTAAGTTTTCACCAAATAATTCCTTTGACAAACGACGGCGCTCTTTTGACAAACGACCGCTCTCTTCTGACAAACGACGGTTCTCTTCTGACGAACGACGGTTCTCTTCTAACAAACGACGGCTCTCTTCTAACAAAAGATAGCTCTCTTCTGACAAACGACGGTTCTCTTCTAACAAACGACGGCTCTCTTCTAACAAACGACGGCTCTCTTCTGACAAACGACAGCTCTCTTCTGACAAACGACGGCTCTCTTCTGACAAGCGTTCTCTTGCTCCTGACAAGCGCTCTTGATCCAGTCCCATTGACTGCACAAGTGTACGGCCATTGTCTTGCTCTATGATCACATCGAATTCATCCAACGCTTGGGTTAATGAGCTCTGCTCTACTCCTGCATTGTCATTCGAGAAGTCATCGCAAGGCATATGATGCAATTCGGCCCCAGCATCCATGCAAATCAAGGCATCCGCCGTTTCCTTGGGACTGCCACCACACTCTGCACCATCTGCTGGAATGCCAGGCGCGATACCATCTAGTTGGCTAGAGGACCTGCTTTCTGCCGTATACGTATCAGAAACCCAGTCGACTGAGGCTTGATTGGTGCCGGAATTTGGCTCGACTGTTTCGCGATACTGGAGGAATTTATGGTATCAGCTCTGTGTAAGATACATCTAAGCGTCTGCCTTGTAAGGAAACTGGATCGTACTGCCGTACCTTGTCTGAGAATTCTTTGTAGCCTTCAGGAGGCTCCTTCGACGGAATACAGTAGCCCGATAGCCAGTCTAGTCCCTCGGGATGTGGCTCAGTAGCCATAGGTTCGGAAGTTGACGGAGTTTGTAGAGATAATGACTGTTTACTTGGCGTAAGCAAGCAACAGTATCAATGGGCGAGTATATGATATCAAGTGTTGAAACTCGGGAATACGCTTGTGTGTTCGTGTGGACCTAAATGGTAATGGCACCGCACCCGTATTTCCAAAACCAAAGTTACGGATGCTGGTGCGTGTAAAGACCATAAAGATGCGACGGGGGAATTGCTGTCTGTGGGCGAAAGTGGTGGCTGGCTGACAAGTCGCTTGGCGTATGTAATGCAGGGTGCTTCACCGGTCTGCGTTGCCAGCGAGGCAGATTCAGGACGTCGTTGTGCCGCGCAACTTCCATCGCCGCAACACTTGACAAAATCACGATGCGGACTTCGCGCCATGATGTTGCGCGGCCACTGGATGGATATCCCTCACTCGCAGAAGATATCTCGAGTGACCCAGATCGAACGTCTTTGGTTTTCCGGCGATTCGACAGGCTCGCTGTGCGTAATCTGCTTTACCTGCAAAGTGAACTGGTTGAACTGGAGGCAATGCAAGTACGCGCGAAATCGGTTCGAAGTTTTTGAGGCGATCCGCTGATATTGATGCCAACAGGAGCAGTTGGATAGCGAGGATCGAAGCTACGAGAACAATGATCTCGCCGCCGGAAGATGTGCCATGAACTGGGAGGCGTTCAGAAATGCTGCAGATGACCATGCAAATATTAAACAACGAAATCGAATGGATCTGATGGAAACAATACGGAAAAAGATGAAAGAGTATAGTATTACCTGATGCCAGCCCAGATTCTCAAACAACATGCTGAGAATGTCGAAGGAAAGGCACTGCTATCGGAAAGCCAAATGGCGCAACTTGGACCGCCTCCAATACGCACATTTGACGCTGTCCATCATGCCTCAACGCGCTTCAACAAGGCTGCAAATCACCGAGATCTGATTTTCGGGGGCCATAGTGCTACCCTGTATGAAAGAAACGATGATCTGGTTCTCTTAAAACAACCCGCACACGAAGACCGTGTCACTACATTCGTGCAGCAATATCTTCCAGTCCTCTTTTTGGTGCGTACAACCCATTTTTTACTGCCCTAAAACCGAGCTGATGGAGTGCGAAGGCAGAGAGAAGAGAGAATGGTATGGCCTACGTGCCAGAAAAGAGCATAGCGAGGTTCGTGACGATCGTCAGCGTCATCATCGCAGTCGTTCTGCTCTTCGTCGCAATTCTGGTCCTGTATTATGTCGACAACCCCACAACGAAGCTGATCATGATCGGTGTATTTATGTTGTTGTTCGCTGGAAGCGTTAGTATCTTCACTGCTGCGAAGCGATCCGAGGTCTTCGCAGCCACGGCCGCGTGAGTGCAAGGGCCTCCATCTCGTTTTCGACCGCTAACTTTACGTCAGATACGCGGCGGTGCTGGTGGTGTTCGTAAGTGGGAATCTTGGCTCGAGCAGTTCTGAGGTGCCACGTAGGTAGCTGCGACGGCGGGTGCCTGACTCAGTTCCGCATCATGCATCATGATATTGGGTCGCAACAGCGTCGGTGTCATCTGCATATCCCATCAGTGCAGATATAGATTTGTAGGAGGCGGATGTTTTGAGGTGGTGTATTGAACAGAATCCCTCAGTTTGAGCATGAATTAGACGCGGTAGTAGTACAAGGACCTTCCCTACATGATGACGCATGCCATGGCCACCGGGACGTGCACTAGCGCGTCCTGAACGCGTAGGACCCCCGGGGCCCTCTCGGGGTTTCTACTGATCACAAAACCACGAACGTCAATTCTCTTCTGACCTACTTTGAGCGCTTATAGCCCATTCTTTTTGCAGCTCCATCTGCAATTCCATCAGCATCTGGTCGCCTATATCCTGCGAGAACTCTTCGCGTAGCCTCGACACGATGTTGTACGCTGCGTTGTGCCGCGGACACATAGATTCGGAAAAGCTACCACCGTCATCGTATCTTTCGGTACAATGGAATAATATCGTCGGATCGAGATGGTTGAATGGTGAAGTGTCTGCATACTTGAGCGATAGGCATTTCGTCAAGATCAGTCTCATACCCTCTACGGACTTTAGGTAGGTTTCGATGGCAGGCTCGAAGCAAAGCGGTCGTTGACGGGCAAATTCTAGTACTAGTCCCGCAATGCCGGCAGCGATAGGAGTGGCACAGGATGTTCCTACCATTCTCTTCCACCCCTCATGTGGATCCTCAGAAGGAAGGTGTGTAGGGTACGCAGACCTTACTGCTTCGCCCAAGGCAGTAAATCTGGCTTTGTGGCTGAGTTGTGGAGGATTGAACTTGGACGGGTTACCATGAACATCTGCTGCATCGACGGCGATAACTTCCAAAGCTCGAGCTGGATACGACATGCCGGCTTTCGTTCGGATGCCTTCGTTCGAGCTCGCCGCGAAGAGTAGAACATTGCTAGCTCTAGCACGTCTAATCGCCGCTCGAAGTTCGTAATCACTGTCCTCGTTCCAGCCTAGACTCATACTGATGATGTCGACCTTCTTCTTCTCGACAGCGTCATTGATGGCCTCCGCTACGTACTTCCTGTCGATTGCTTCGGTACCTTCGCAGACCCTGTATACATACACGTCTGCGTACGGACAGACAGTGAGGATCACACCGACAGCATGGGTACCATGGCCTTTGCTGTCACAGTTCCAGGGCAGAGACGGATCTAGCTGCTTTCCTAATTTCACTCGTGGACTCTTCATCAGATGCGGAACTCGGCCCTGGGTGGCGCTCTTAGCCACGCCACTGTCGAGTACAGCGATCTTTACGCGTCGTTCTGTCTTCTTCGCCTTATAAGAGTCGCCCTTGTACCTGTCCAGCAGTACATGGGCATGGTCACGTAGGTCTTCGAACCAACCATCGGCTATGACTTCACTATGCATCGTTAACGAGACGTTTGATGTTTAGGGTACCTCGGGACTCACTCTTGGGCGCTCCAGTTCTGGATTGGCGCACTACTCATTTCGGAAATACTTCTCCTCAATGTGTTTACGGATGAGGCGCGCCTGTGTCTTACGTCTTCTGTCTGCACTACCCGCAAGCCATTTTGGCCTGGTTGGTCGTTGGAACGGATCTTTCTCAATCCATGGAGAGGGCCTGGATCATCAAAGTCTTGATGCCACCCACCGGGCACGAAGCTGTCCCTTGCATCGGCCTTGGACGTCTCTTGGTGGATGATTGGAACAGATTCAGATCGTACATGAGGCTGAGATTGTGTGTCGAACCATATCTCAGCCTCACGAGTGCTGCTTCCTTGCTCTGGCTCTTTTCTCGACACGAAGGACTCAGAGATCGTTCTGGGCGTGATTGGAACACGCGGCGAAGCTGTTGGAACCAGCAGGTCTACCATCTGTTTGGTCTGCTTCCCTAGCCACGACATCGAGGTGCGAACTATTTGATCTGTCGCAGGTTCGTTGTTTATCCTGCTAGATTGACCTGTGGTTTGCTCGGAGTGCGCTCCCGGTGCTGGAGATCGATTACTGCATTCCGACAGCTGCTCCTTAGCCGAACCCTCGCGCTGCGCGCTCGATTGTGGGTGTGCATCTTCTGCTGGTGACACTGCTCGAAGGGACCTTTCCTTTCCAAGTGTTGTACTTTGCCACTCAGCAGCAGAAATAGCGTTGCCCAGCTCTTCATTTTGTGCCTCAAGCCCCTTCAGAGCCTTTGCAAGCGCATCCAACTGTTGCAATATGTTCTCCTCACCCGCTGGGTTTGCCGGGAGGATACTTTTCCTGGACACACGGTGAATCTCGGGTGGTGTTTGCTTAGACGATGGCTCTGCAGTAGTCTCTCTTTTTCTGGGGTTCACACTCGAACGTGAAGAGTCTTCCCTCGAGGAACTCTGGTTGTGTACAATGATCTCTATCGCAGGGGAAAACTTCACCTGATGTGTCGGACTCGCTTTTGCGCCGCTCATCGGCGTTGAGACCGCCTCAATCTTCGCTGGCAGAGCAGTGGTAGACTTGGGAGGAGTCGAACTTTCGCTTTTACTGGATATCGCGCTCGGCAATACCTCACCCTGGGCTTTGTGTGTTGGTAGAGGTGGATGTTGCGCCACCGGTATCTCGGCTGGATCCGTCTTGGGGCGCTTCCTTTCGACCTTCCGGTGCTCGTCTTTCTTTTGACGATCTTTCTGTGATTCTGGAGGCTGCTTCTCCTGTTGTTTGGCTTGCGGCTTGGGGGCTGAACCTTTTCCAGTCTCCTGTCTCGTTTCTCTGTCTGCACCCAAAGGGTCCTGGGTTTGCGCCACTGGTATATCGGCTGGATCTTTTCTGGGGCTCCTCCTTCCCGCGTTCTCATGGTCATCGTTCTTTTTATGCTCCTTCTGTGGTTCTTGAGGCTGCTTCTCTAGTGATTTGGCTTGCGCTTTGGAAGCTGAGAGCCTTTCAGTGTCTCGTCTCGCTGCTCTGTCTGCACTCAAAAGGTCCTGGGTGTGTGCCACTGGTGTATCGGCTGGGTCTTTCCTGGGGCTCCTCCTCCCGGTCTTCTGGTGCTCATCTTTTTCTTTACGCTCCTTTTTCGGTTCTGGAGGCTGCTTCTCCAGTGGTTTGGCTTGCGCCTTGGACCCGGAACTTCTTTCGGTCTCCGGTCTCGCTCCTCTGTCTGTACCCGAAGGCTCCCGGGTTTCTTTCTTGTCTGGAGTCTTCTTGTCTTCCTGCTTATTCGTATCTTGCCCACGACTTTTCGGTCTTGTGTTTTCTCCTTCCGGACGCTTCATCGGTTCCTCCCCAGTCTTTTTCCGGTCTGCATTCTTCTTCTGATCCTCATTACGGCGATCTTTCTTCTCCGCTTTCGATGCCTCCGGCTTCTCCAAAGTTTTTTCTTCTCTTGTCCTTGAGCTTTCCGCTGCTGGTTGCTTCGCTGTCTCCTTCCCTTTCCATCTCTTCTCTCTTGCTTCTTGCATTGGGGTTTGCTCGGCTTGATGTATGTCTTTGGCTTTTCTTTTGGCCACCGTTTCTCCATCTCGCGCTGCTTGCCTACCTGGCTCTTTCTGTTTCTTGTCTTCTTCCTTTGCTTTGCGCGCTCGTATGTCTTTCTCGTCTTGCTTTCGTTTCGTCTCCTCTTCCTCGCGCGCTCGTACCAAGTCAGCCTGCTCTTTTTGGTCCGCAACCTCTCTAAGGCGCTTCTGTTCAGCTATTTGTTTCTTCTCTTCTTCTTTCGCTCTGCGCGCTCGTCTGTCCTTTTCCTTCTGCTTCCTTCTCGCCTCTTCTTCCTCGCGCGCTCGTATCAAGTCAGCCTGCTCTTTCTGGTCTGCAGACTCTTTCAAACGTTTCTGCTCATCTATTTGTGTCTTGAGCACTTCTCTCCGTCTTCTTTCTTCCGCTGCCGCGGCAGCTTGCTGTCTTACCTTGGCCCGTTCTTCTCGGTCTGCAGCTTCTTGTAAACGCTCTTGCTCAGCTATCTGTGACTTTAGGAGTTCTTCTCTTCGCTTTTTCTCTTTCTCTGCTGCCGCAGCAACCTCATGCAGACGCTTCTGCTCAGCCACTTGCGCCTTGAGCACCTCCTCTCTCCGTCTTTTCTCTTCCACTGCCGCGTCAGCCCGCCGACTTGCTTTCAAGTTTTGTCGATCGATATTGATTTTACAGGTCCGAACCGCGTCCTCTGTGTCTTCTAGATACTGTTGGTATTCGGGCGATGATCTGGCTTGGCAGTTTTTCAAATGGAGGATCTCCATCACCTCGCTGAATTTCTCCAGGGCGTCGCCGTACTTCTTCAGAGCGCTCAACTCTCTGCCTAGGTTGTATCTTACATGTACGGATTCAATGTGATCTTTTCCCAGACTCGCCTCCGCTCTTTGCAAGGTCGTCATGTTCAGATTTATTGCTTCCATAATGTCGCGGTCTGTACCAAGTTCGTACATGGCCGCTGCAAGATCCACCCGGTCCATACATCTTTGTTCCGCCGACTTCGATATGATGTTATCTTCGACAATTGCCCGGAACCTTTTGATCGCATTCTTGTAGTCTTTGCTCTCTAAGTACGCCCGCGCTAATTGTCTTTGAGCCTCCAGGTGGTTTTCCTTGGACGCCCGTGCCGGGGCGCTAATTTCGCGAGAAGAACCCCGGTCCCGTCTGTAGCGCTCGAGCGTACGTTGCTCGTTCTCCAGTCCACACACTATCGCCTTCTGAAAGTCTCCAGCCTTCATAAGACTTGCGGCTAGGCGCTCACGTATCTCCAAAGTCTTTTCATCAAGATTCCCGTAGTGTTGTTCGGCCAAATCGGTTGCTCTCTCCCACGCTATGACGACACCTGGGAGAGAAGCCTTACCTATATTTTTGGCTATAGCCTCAAGGCTTTCAGCCTCAGAACGGAGTTGGTTGATTCGGGCATCGAGCGTCATCTCAGGAGGGGAGGACCTTCGCCACTCCTCAAATCCGTCCTCGTGCCGTACCGGTGAAGTGTTAGCAATCTGGCATACAAAAAAATAGAGAAGAGGTCGGATCCCTCCTTCGGTCGTTCCGCGTCGTCGATGTGTAATCGATCTCGAAGTTCTGCGGGCCGCCTCCCGATGTCATCCGGGCTGCGGCGCAGTGGGGGCTGAAAGATAGCTCGCCTGCATACCCAACCTAGGCCAAGCGGATATGCAGAAGTTCAGCGTAACGCCGGGTGTACTGACCGTTTCGAACAACCCCCCGCCTCCATTTTCGGCGTAGCCGTGTTTCGATAGCAGCCAGCCTTCTCATTTCGGCGCATCTTTGCATCTTGAGCAGGCTGTGTAGTTTCGACCTTTGTCACGATGCGAACTAGACTTCCCACATGCCTGTCCTGAAGCTTGCGCCTCGAATACAGTCATGGTTGACAGCACCGCCACCGGATTGCTCAGATCAATCACCGTCGCACGTCGTTCGTATACCTGAAGCGTTCCCAGCCGTTGCTCGCCGCTGGACCCCCACTGCAGCGGCCGTCGAAGAGACTGGTCCCGTAAGCCCTACTCTTGCGCGACCATCTAGCGAAGTCATTGGAGGAGCTTTTGTGGGAGCTTTTCTTGGTCTGCTGATCCTGATATTCCTAATATGGTGCTGTTGCTGCGGCCGTGGTCGTGGTGGTAAGGGCAGTAGTACAGGTAGTGATAAAAGCTCTTCTACAACAAGCCCACCGTCATCCCCAAGAGCCCCGCCACCAGTTCCACCACCTGCTGCTCAAACTAGACCACCATTCAGTACCCGTGGTCTAGGTCCAGCGGCAACCTTACCGGTCCGTCCAGCACCCGGCCTACCACCTAGCTCAGCACATCATCCAAACCATCCTCGGGTCCATCTTCATTACCATCAACCAGTGGCACCTCCAACGATCCCTCCAACAACTCACCAAGCTGCTCCGACACATCACCCAGCTGATCAGGAGCCTCATCATACTCTTTATGAACCATCCCGAGCCACAAGACAGACGCGTAGACCAGCAGCAGCTTTCAACACAACGCATGGTGGGAACCATGCATTGGTAGTGCCGAGAACTGGCGGGATACCACGACCTCCGAGACACGATCGAGTAGAGCTTGAGTCCTTACCGAGTTCCCTCGATGATCATCCAGAAAGTGTATGTGTCCCTCCTCTCAGATTTTGAATGCGAATGCTAAGCCAACTCAGCCTGCCCCGCCGCGCACGCAAGGTATGCCGAAGATTCTGTTCATGAAGATATGATCAGCGTGGTATCAGTCTCGATATCTTGGTGCCCAACATGAGTTTACTGGGTGCACACTGCTCGATGCAGTGAGCCCATCAAGATTGGACTGTGGGCTGCATTACTCAGCCCCGCTCGTCATGCATCCACACGCAACCCTGCATTACCATGCATGCTTCGACTCATGTCTAGTACCTCTGCAACTAGCGCCTCACTATATATATGGCGCCGGATTACCATCGCACACTCAGACTACCACAGCGTCACCACATCCCCAGAGCTTCCCCACGCCTTGAAGTCATCACTACATCTTTTCAGCGCCACTACATCACAACAGCATTCTCTCCCTCTCACCATCGCACAAAACATGCCCATCCCAAAACCCACATACTTCCTCACGCCCCCGCGCCCCAGTCCCCCCGATGGCCCCATCCGCCTCGGTGCTATCATCCCCTCCCCATCCCAACCGGATGAACCCCTCCACCTCCCTCCCCTGCCGCCCCAAACCGACACAAGCACCTTCACGGAACATGACTGGAGCGGCACGCACACCAAATCCACATCCACCACCTTCGGCATCTGGACCTCCTTCCTCGAATGCGTCCTCGGTGTCGGCGCAGACATAAGCATCAGTAACGACAAATCCATGTCCCAAACCTGGCAAGTCGAAAAAATGACAACGCAGACTTTCCAACCCAGTCGCGCGTTTCTGGAAGACGTGGTGAGGCATGAGGATGTTAGGGATTACATCACTCAGCACCGGTTTAGAGAGAAAATCTACATCATAACGGGTGTTATGATAGCGTCGTCAACCACGCTTTCCAGGGAACGGCTCCAGGAAAAAGGTGTCTATGTGCATGCGGGTGTGGATGCGACAGCGTGGTCTGGCGTACCGATTTCGGTGGGACCGGAGGGGAATTGGAAGAGGAAGAGCGGGACGAGCGAGCAGAGTACGAGGGCGGAGGACTTTGTTTTTGCGTATAGGATAAGGGAGGTTAAAGTGAAGAGGAAGGGAGGGGTCAAGTCGGATAGGCTGTTTGATAAGGGTGCGTTGTTTGATACGCAGGTTAGGAGGAAGGTTGAGGACAAGGGTGAGGTGGTGGTGGATGGCTTGGGGGAGGAGCCGGATGTGGATGATGTGGAGTCGGAGAGTAGGGAGGTAAGGCAGAGGGTTGGGGATGACGGGGAAGAGGAGGATGCTGTTTGTGTTTTGCCGGAACCGCTGGACTGAGTACGTCGGCGTGTATGATACGTAGGCGCAAATAGAGGAAAGTGGAAACTGCTGCCAGCACACACGGTAATACTGGTAACTGTCTATTATGGCCGAAGCCAAAAGGCGTCACTGCTACACGATCGTACATGAACCGCCACCTCCTTCCAGTCCTCTCCGCACGCGACTTCTGCTCCTTTCGTCATTGCAGAAGGTCGCTGGTATAAGCTCCCGAAATGCATGCAAGTCTCCCAAGCGGTGGTATCCTCGATGCCCCCAACCCGTGTTTTACGCCGTAGATAGATGGTCATGAAATGCAGCCTCCCCCAAACGCCTCGCGCTAAGTTTCCTTGACGAATTAGGAAAGAGATGAGTGTATGATGTAGAGAGCTTCACTTCATCAGCCTACGCAGGATGGCCGTGGCGCAACGGTCCGCAATATTGTGAACGGCCTAAGTGGATGATGTGCTACCTCGTCTGGTCCCCGTTATTCTGCCCTGCGATCCCGAGGTGGTATTAGCGGATGAACAATACTCATACATGAGTGGAAGATACAACAAGAACGCGCAACATGTAATTAAGGGGAAGAAGAGCCCAGGTAGGTAGGGTAGGAGGAAGTACCCTGTCCAGGATAGCTAGGCCGCGAAGCAGGCTGTGCTGGTCGATAGGATTGATACCCATGGCGTGGTGGAGGTGTAGATGGAGGCCGGGAGTAATCAGAACGCATGCTAGCAGACCCACTATGGTAGGTTGGTGGCAGTGGACGACTATGGGCAGAGTGACTGCCGAGGGGAGGTAAATGATACCGACGGGGCGGATCAGGAAGGCTATTGGGGGTAGTGTACGCTACCTTTTTCGTTGGTCTTACTGGCTCATCATCATCGCTCAAGGTCAGATCCACTACTTCGGATTTTCTCTTCTGGCCAGACCGGGGGGCTGTGGATGTCTCGCGAGAAGGCAGTGGAGGGGTGCTGAGCGAAGTGGGTGTCGGCGCAGCTTCGGTCTTGATAGCCTGTATACGGTAATCTGGTATCTCGATGAGGTCATCATCACTATCGTCATGATGCCCATTGTGCCCGTTTTGTTTGGGCTTCTCATCCTTTTCGGTCGACCATTGTCCGCTTGGCTGGATGGTGACCTGGTCCGTGTTCTGGGCCTTGTTGAGGATTTCCTCAACGTACTGGTCGACGGCCAAGCCTTCGTATGATATGGTCTTGCTGCATATTGGGCATGTCCATGTGGGAGCTTGCTCCTGGAGCTGCAGAAATGAGTCGGCGTCAAAGCATTGATTGTGTGTGCACACAGTCGACCTGCATGGGGTGACAATGCGCAGGGTAGAGATGGGGTCCTTGAGCGACATGACGCTGGAGCCAACTTCGATGTCGGGGTCATTGGCCTTTTTCATCACTGTTACAACATTAGTCATGTGAGAGATGTTAGCTGCCGAAGGCCACTACATACTTTCATTGAGCACAGACTGCCTCGTGATGACATGGCGCTGCTTGATGCGCTGTGTGAGCTCGTCGACCGAGAACTTCCTGACCAAGTAGACGAAGAGGTTGTACTTCTGCATTGAGAGTTAGCTCAGAGTCACGCTTGGGAAACTGATGGGATAAGAAACCTCCGACCGACTTGCCTTCTGAGTCAGGGCGTAGGTGATGAGGATGCTGTTGCGCTGGTTGGCGACCTTGGTGCGGACGAAGTCGGTAATGTCGGCGGGGCGCGTAGAGCCTGGCTTGTTCTTCAAACCCTTGTAGTTGGCCTTTACCTCGTCGTCGTTGACCTTGACCTCAATTTGAGATGGGAATGCGATATCGAGACGCGAGAAGGGCGCCAATGGCTGTTCGAGCGCAGAGAAGAGCAGCAGGCGCAAAGATGGGTCTGTCTTTAGGCGTCCGGACTGGCTTTCGTTGAGGGTGAGGTTACGCGATATGGTGGCACGGTGGGTCGGCGAAGCGTCCAGAGACATATTACTCAGTATCAGCTCGCGAATCTCAAAGAAAGGGCTCTCCTTGAAGAAATAGGTCGGACGTGGCGGCATGGGTGGCTGCTGGGGCTGTTGGTATGGCTGGTATGCGCCGCTGTTTTGGAAGCCGTTGGCCATGCTGTACCCGTTCGCGATGGGCTGAGGGGGCTGCGAGTACGACGAGGCGACGGGGCTGCTCGTGGCTGGTGGAGGCGCTTCGCCGTGGTGTTGTACGCGGTATTGCAGTCGCCGCAGCAGGTCGGTGTCGCTCCTAGCAACGGCATTGGCGATGACTGGGGAGGGTGAAGTTAGCAGGTGAGCGGCGACAGCAAGCCGTGTTGCTGGGGAGCGGAGATACCTACGGCCAATGACCCGCGCCTGCAGTGCGGCCTTGTTGCCCGTCTGCGAGGTGCCCTCCTCTTTGAGAATCTTTTTGAGGTCGTTGTTGATGAGTGTCTTGGAGCGCTCGGTGATAGTGGCAGCCATCTGCTGCATGCTCGTCGCCATGGTTTTGTGCCGTCGCGGTGGAGAGGCTGGCGATGTTGGAGAGGGAGGTCAAGGGCTACCGGTTCAGTTTTGCTCGCGAAGGCATCTGGGGCGGGCTATCTCAGACACTCTCTCTCGGGCGGGTGACGTAGGGCGAGGTGAAGGCAGCGAAGGGCGATATCCGGCTATCTGAGGTGCAGTCGAGTCGGACGGGCGTTGGTCGCAACTTCCCAAAGCCCCCGGCGGCGATGCAGAGCGAACAGGACAGGCGGGCGGGACAGTCGCGGAGCAGCAAACAGGCGAGCAGAGGCCGCAATGCGACTTTTCTAGTATTCGGCCGTCGAGGTAGGCGGCGGCTCTCGCGGCGAGCGCATCTCCAGCTGGGATATACCGAAGTCAGCGTCACCTGCAACTAGGCGAAGAACGCGACTAGGGCACGGGCCGGCCTGGCTTGATACGCCAAACGCCTTGCCACCAAAATTCCTCGAACTTTTCCCCACCAGCCGCCGCCGACTTGACCAAGACATACGCCCAAACACCCATTCACCCACACATTCCCCGTCACTCTCTGCACAATGGCCAAAGGCGCACGCGCAAGCAGCAAAAAGGCGAACCGCACCAAGCTGCGCGCCCGAGTTTTCGGCCCCGTCGAGCAGGCACGCGCCGAGCGCCTGCACGCCAGACTTCTCGAGACGATTGCCCAGCCCAAGCCCGAGAGGACTGAGATGGAAACCGAAGAAAGTGAGTCGCTCAACCCTCTCCCGCCATATGCACCCTCTAATCGTGCCCCAGTCAACACCACCGACGATGCCGCCAAGGAGGACTTGCCCAAAGGTTCGTCTCTGCTTACTGTCCCCATGCCACGCTCCCTGTCCGATCCCTCTGCAAGTCCACTCGGCCCCACAGAAGAGGACTGCGAACTCGGGAACCTGTGTTTTCACCTAGGCCTGTGTTCAGACATCCTGGGCTTCACCGACGACGGCCATCTCAAATTCGCCTTTGACCCGCTTCCTCCGCACTGGTAGAGTGAGAATCAAGGGCTAACTTTGACTTGCTAGATATGGACGTCGACGCAACCGCCACCTCTGCGAAGAGCTCGAGCTCGCGCAAGACCAAGGACAAGAGCCAGACCCGGAAACAACTGCGACGCAAGCCCCAGAACAAGGTCTCCTTCCCTACTTCCCGAGGCAAGGGCGCACTGAAGCCCAATGGTGGACGTCCCAGCGGCCCCGGCCGCATCGGCAAACGACGAGCATGATTTCCATCCACGTATATCGGCGTTGTTCCATTGCATTTTCCGGCGTTTAAAATATTGCTCTACAGCACAGAGCTACGGTTTTGGAGGATACCATGTCCATGAGGACTTGCTTGAACAGTTTCGAGAATGTACATTTGTACATGCAGCAATCTGTTGACTGAGATTGCAGCCAGTCTAATTTAAACTACAGTGATTCAGCTGTTAATATTCTTCCTTAATTGTGCTTGCCGTGCTGAACGTATCTATACTTTGCACCTTCCTTACGTGATGCGCTAGGCCCGATATAGTGTACCTGCTCACCTGGGCAGGGAAACATCTCATCTTTCGCGCCTGCCTCTTGATTCTTCTGTCACTGCAGTCGACCCCACCCCACTTCCACCCTCCCCTCCAGCATGGCCAATTCCACTTTCCGCTTCCTCGATCTTCCGAAAGAATTGCGCCTTATCATCTACGAATACATCCCCATTACAACACGCCATCACGTTTGGGAAGACGCGGCAAGACATACTTCTTGGGGCGAGTTCCTGTCTGGAAATACCATTACACTAGTGGTCAAATCGATATCGACCGGGATACTTCTCGTTTCTTCTTCGATCCACGACGAGTGCAAGCCAATTCTCGACCGCAAGCTCAATGCTCTCCAAGTTGAGCCACTACGTCTCATCGTCGATAAGCAGAGTCTGTTGACCCTGACGAGACACAGGAACGAGGTGGGGCCTGCCCTGAACAGCCTTCTTTGGTGTCTGAAGGACTTCATGAGATTGAAGACTGGACAGAGCCACTCACAGTGCTGGGATGAGGGAAACGTTCAATTATCGGGTGTCATGTTCAACTTCAACTTCAATGGGCGAGAACATGCGCGCCTCATCGAATTCCTAAATTTGATAACGGGATTTCGTTTGAAGCGTTTGCCTCGCTCCAGCGTTATAGCTGTACGACACAAAGGCTTCTATAACGAGAGATTGCAAGTGAGCAACGACTTTGTCAACCCTGCGCGGCGTCCAATGGTCGGGTTTCCACCGCCTACTTGGACATACTATCTTCTGAAGCAGGATATGCAGCAAGACGAGTACAATATGAGGGACGACTTTACGGAACTGATTCGCGTATGCGGCAATGACCCCCACTTGAACTTTATCAAGTTCGTTGAGCCTGGAACGCCGGAAGAATGGGCTAGAGATTGGGAGGAGGGCGAATGGGCGACCTCGACCTAGGTACTATGAGCGATATAGTGACAAACCCGAAAAGGATACCCTGGCTACACTCTTGAGGCACAGAAAGCGGCGCTATGCATTTCCAATGAGCGGGATAGCAGGAGAGAAGAGGACAAATGTGACTTGCAACATTCCTACCGTGCTTTGCAACATAGCACGTCTGGATTTTCCTTGCCTTTATATATCTACAGACAGCTCAGGGTCGAAATCCACGTCTCCCAGCCCGCCAAGCAGTCCCCCGAAAAGACCTTCATTGATGCTCTGCAGTGTCCAATCATCAAGCGCCCCCGCATCGTTCGACGAATCAAGGAACGACCACCGATTGTCCCACTCCGTGAGTGATGACTGTGTCTGGTCAGGTACCTGAGTAGACAGCATCTCCTCAGCCAACGGGATATCGGAGGCTAGCCTGCGCTGTAGGCTGATGGTACCAAAATACGGCAAGTGAAGCTGCAAGACCGCCTTCTCAGCGTCCATGAACTGGCCATCAAATTCCGTCGCCAGCCCATCGTCTGTCTCACTAGCCGAAGTGTTGTAGCCAGTCCCATTTGCCGATGCCGCTTCGGCGTCGAGAAGATACTGTATGATACTCGATAGCTTCATGGCGAGAGCATCGTCGCTCATCTCCCCCAATACCTTGACTGTTAGCTCCATCAAAGCGCGATCGCTCGGACGGCTATGATCGAAAAGTGCTTTGTGCCGAATCATAGATTGGTTCTGCGAATCGATATGGGCCAAACACAGCACCATGAGGGCGACGAAAGCCAGACAATCGACTCCTCTGCAATAATACGGACCGCGTTTCCACTTGCGAAACGCGATATATCGACTCATGATTTCGCGGGCGGCATGCACAGCTGTCGCTTTACTTTCTTCGCACCTATCGTCGCCCGAAGAGCGAAGAACATACGGTAGATGCAGGCGTATAACGAGATAGAAGTGCGACAGCTGATACATATTCCTTACAACCTCATGCATCGGATCCGAATCGCCCCCGTCCTTGTTGCCAAAGTCTCGAATAAGCCACCAGTCCGACGGCATCAGCTCCGTCACCTCCCTGAACATGTCGTCAATTTCCCGGACCCTTTTCTCCGTAACATCGCGCGGATCTCCTACTTTACGCGCCAAGATACGATCTCCAATGACGCATTGCAGCCTCGCGATGCGGTCCAGCGGATGGCACTTTGCTATAACTTCAGCGCTCAGCCCGACTGTCTGCAGCGAAGACTGCGGCAGCCCCAGTGTCAACGAGAGGTAGCGATCCATCTCCACAATACGACAGCACAGCTGGTCTGGATCGAGGCTCTCGCGCGTCTTGGGATCCACCACCTTGATAGAAGCTCGCTTAGCGTTACCACGATGCAGACCCAACATCTGAGCTACGGCAACGGCGCGGCGCACAGTCAGCCACGCGCGGTGTAGGTTCCCAGCGTAGTTCTGGGTAATGGCTTCGATCATGATGCATTCGACGCCTTCAACAGAGGCGGTTAGCTCGTCATTTGAGGTCACCAGCCGTGTTGCTGTATCCATGGCATGAGCCATGACTTTACTGAGATGCTCTCGCTGGCTTCTGGGTATACAGTCATCGGATAGTGCGCCCTGCACTATATTGCTGAGTAGAAGGAGTTTCCGCGCTATCAGTACTGGATGTGATCCTGGTGGTGGTAGCTGCAATATCTTTCGTGGGCTATCTGGAACCTGGTTCATCAGGTTTGCAGATGATGTCGTTAATTTCATGTGCATGTGCGTGGAGATGCTGACGGGTAGCTTGCAGATGTAGTCGAGATCTTGGGTTGTGGGCCATGCTGCGACGAGGTCTCGAGAGATGCCAGTGTATATATCGCCAAGTACTGGTTCTGGTTGTTGCGAGAGATCTGCGAGTGTTGATGTGGTTTCTGTGGAGGCGGATGATGTGATCTTGATGTTTTTTGTGTGATCCTTGTGTGTGTCAGAGATGAATGTAGGATAGACCCCAGCACGCTACACATACTATTACGCTCCTCGGTCTCTCCAGGTCTGCATCTCCCGGATACTCGTCAGCAATGTCGTGGCGCCTGTCTGTCGACGATCCAATAAGTCGCTCAAGCAACGTCTCCACCCGACCCAAACGCGTCTCTAATCCAGCATCTCCTCTCTTGTTCTCATTCGGTTCATCCGCAAACTCCTGACTAACACAGTCTGTCTTGCGTCGCACGCAGTTACTACATTTGGACTTGGTAGGTGATGCCCAGATACATCGGACTTTCCGTTTCTTACACTCCCAGCAACTTTGAGTACCTTTACGTACTTTACGCCGCTTTGCCGCTCTTTCATCTTCATGGGAGTTGGTTTGAGGTGACGGGGAGGGGGACGGGTGCATATTCGATTGTGTGTTGATGGAGGTTGGGGAGGGAAGTGACAAGAGTGGCTGGTGCAGTAGGGCAGTGGTGTTCGGCCGAAACCTCGGACGAAAGCTCCGGACGGGTTACACAGTAAAGAGAGTACATTGTTCGCTATTAGAAACCTACTACTACTGCAGTTAGTCATCGCCATCGCATTACCCCGAAGACCGGCTGCGCAACATGGTTCATACGACTGCCTCATCACGGCTTTCCCTTCCACGCCTCCCGCAAGAAAGTCCTCACATCCGTGAACTCATAATCAGGCAACAATTGGTTCCATTCGTCTCCCACATCGAAGGCGCCTGTCCCGAACGCCCGAATGAAGCCAGTCACTACCATCTTCGCGAACTCCTCAGCCTTCTCTGGTGGAATGGCATTGTGTTGGAATTTCGGGTACCAGGAGGCAGTCCAATTCCCGTTCTTCAAGTCCTCATTGGAGATTCTTTCAATGGCAAAAGGCCCACCTACATAATCCTATCAGTAAAGATGATGGCAGTGGAATAGCTTATGTGAGCTCGGAAAAGACAAAATACTAACCTCTTAGCTCTTCCCCGAGAGCAATGAGCTCCTTGACTGAGATGCGCGAGCCTCGGATGCCACCTACGACCGGCCATTCGCCCTCGTAATCCACTGCGCGCGCGACCACGCCTGCAAGATCTTGCACCGTGGTCAAAGTGATGGTATCATCATCTCCACCTTCTCGCAAGATGGCCCTACGATTCTGGAAATCCCACATGACATGAAGTGGCGTGAGGTGCTCGGCTGACTTGTACGGCACGGTCAAGTAATTGGAAAAGAGACCCGGCTGGAAAAGACAGTACTCGATGACTTTCTTGTTTTTGTTGATCTCGGCCAGATATTCGCGGATGCTGATTTTGAACGAGTACCAATCCATGTGCTCTGTGGTGCGTCTGGGATTTCGTTAGGATATATCGGATTGAGCGGTGATAGTAGCAACTTACGTGACCCATTCGCTGGGCGCGAAACGCTTTACCCCGGCCCTGATCGAGGCATCGATGAGGTTCTTCTGGAAGGAAACCCCTTCTTGCAGGTCGTGCGGCGCGATGAAAGAAAGAACCACGTCTACGCCTTGTAGACGGCTAGTTAGTTCGTCTAGGTCTTTGTAGTTGGCTTTGACCGATTTGACGGGCGAGTCGGTAGTCTCGACTGGAACGTCCTGGAGAGACGTTAGTATCAAGCAAAATAAGCAACATGTAGTATTGACCTTGCGCGTGAAGATTACAATCTCGTGCTTCTTGCTGGCGAGGAGAGCAGCGATGCACTCTTGCCCTACGTCTGTGAGGATGTTAGTCCGTCCAGTCGGTACAATAAGCGCGACACCCACCTCCAGCACCGCCTGCGATTGCGATTTTGACCATGTTGGGCAATGAGGTCGCGTTTGGTGGACTGGCGTGAAATGGGTGGTGTACTGTTGATTTGGTTGAAAGTAGTTTTCTTGCTAAGTGCTTGTGATATTCTATTGACCGCGCATGTTGTTTCTCTTATACCAGAGAGAAGGCCGACTTTTCGGCCGAATGGTGTAGTGTCTCGCTGGTGCGTAGTTGGTCCCCCGAGAACTCGGTGTAATGATTGCAAGAAAAGCTAGCGACTGTATGCTACTCGTGAGTAATCAATATACTCCTAACGAGTGATAGTCGCTACGTTTTCTCGTCCGATGTTGATCAACGTCTTCCGTATCCTGGCAAACTCCCGCAACTGGAGAATTGAGAGCTTCTCTTGGACTCGGGGTTGCAACACAGTTGCTCCGATCGAAAGTTAGTCGTAGCACAATTCACTCCGAAGTCCGCTCGAGAAGCTGTGCAACCGTGGCGCTGCCAGAACCCGCTTTTGGTGGTTTGCACAGCAGCAATACCATCACAAACACGCCAATCTTCAAAGGCTAAGCCGTATGAAACACTTTGGAAGAAATCCATGGTATATTGAGCATGTTGAGGCTCCTTGCTCTCTTCAACAAGCACTTCCAAGTACCTGCACGACTGATGGCTGGCTTCCAGTCGCGCGATTTCGTTCAAACACCAATGGGCATTTGATTTCCTTGGGCGTATATTGCGTCGAAAAGATATTGGACGTGAACTCGATTGAACGTGGTACGGATTTATGTCCAACGACAGATTTAATCGATTGGTGCCGGAAGTTATGTCCCAGATCCAGAAATGGAGCGACGTATAGCGCGGGTTGTAAGACTGTGAGTAGTACTTTGCTTACTTGCTCCTCAAACCGATGATTTCGTGCACACAATCCACTTACATAGTCGAAAAATTCGAAAATTCATCTTCAGCAATCAACGCCGGCGGCATCATACAGCCACCCCGCGACGGCCACGAGCGCAAAAAGATGGACTTGCAGGGAATCGAACCCTGGACCACTCCCATGCTAAGGGAGTATTATACCACTAAACCACAAGCCCGGTTGTTGAGATGCTGCTCAAATTTGAAGCGAATTGGTGATTCGCTGATTGATGGAGGTTTGCCAAACAGGTGTGTTTATAACTCGCATCTGTGATGGTGACGTGTAAGAACGGCGGCGCCAACGGACTCGCTGGGCTATGTGGGACGAATAGGGGCATCTCTCCCATGCTACGGCATGTCCCGGTAGCGAGAACGTCGGCGATGCGTTTGCCACTGTTAAAGAAAACGACAGATACGATACTACAATCTTAGAGTTGTCATGAGCCAAAATGTTGCTCGTTGGGTACATCGCCATGGCCAATGATGTCCGAGTAGTCCTTCGTGCGGTCGAGCTGATGCCGGTTCGCCGAACTTTCGGGCAAGTGGAAACCCACTGCGCTTGGCTATTTCCAGCTGAGAACGATGCATCCCAACGCTTGCATGTCGTAATGTTTCGATAAAGTCTCCGTGTTCATAAGTAACGGTGGTCGTTCTTGCTGAGCGATCGCACTGCATCCAGCAGGTGCGCATAGCTGTTTGCGACAAAGGTCGACATTCCTTCGATATCGTATACAGCTGGCGTATTCTGGAGAGGCTGTTTGCGCGATACAACGCGCCTTGTAGTAGTCGCGTGCGACGAGCGATCGCGATTCCGATGGAGAGTAGTTGCGTGTGGGATGCAGATGGTTGGTGGACGTCGGGGAGCTAGGTGGATTGGCGTCGGTAGCTGCCTGGCACCTGCCAAGCTCCAACCTTTGAGACTCATCTTCACCACTCACACTTCACCGCCGATAAATAGGAAGCGTGTCTTATGTCAAAAGTCAAATGTAGCCATCCATGGATGTTGGCTTTATGTTCAGACGTCAGATCAACTCTGGTAGCCCATCTAGTTTTCTCTATCTATCGCATTGTCCAATTTCACATTTATTCCACACCCATTCTTTCATCCTCGATTTAATCCAACTACCCATCTGAATCTTCGCTAGACTCGTCACTCGACAGCTCCTTCTCTTCAAACACTCCGTCAAAGGTCTTGAGGCTCCATCTTGACTCCATCTCTTCCGGTTCCAGGTCTTCGCTAACCTCGAAACGCGCATCCTCGAAATCCTGAACAATGTCTTCCACATCCGCGTCAACCTCTTCTGAGCATTCAATTGTCACCGCGAACTTGGGACGATACATGCCGGAGTCGGAAACGTCCCAGCGGGGATTGATGATGTCTTCGATGGCAGAGGGGAGCAGTTCTACAAATTCCTCGCAAGCTGCGTCATGCCCAATCCAGACACCGACCTCGATTCGCTCGTTTGTCTTGAGGTATAGATTTGCGAGGCGCATCCACATCTGATACATAACTGCGCCCATCCGAGCTTGCTCGATTAGGCTTCTGCGGGTGAATACGGTATCGAAATTCTCACGCTCGTCATCTGCCAGTCCCATGTTTGGTGAAACATAGCCTTTTCGGGCATTTCGAACATCGGCAAGGACTTCAGGGACGAAGTGGAAGTAATCACAGTCTGCGATGAGCTGAGCCGGGCCACACTTCTGGGTTTCCTCGTCGATGACCTTTTCAGCTTCGTTTCGGATTGCCTTTGACACAGCGACTATAGCGCGTTCGATATAAGAGAATCTGACGACAACCACCGGTGTTCTGATCTTGTCTCGTCGCGCTATTGCGTACTTCGTGGTACAGTGGAGGTTTTTGTAGACCGCGGTGCGCAGCTCGGCTGGTAGTCTTTCGAACGGAAAAGGAGTGTTCGCCATGTCCTGGGTACTGTCAGCAATCTTTCCAGTGGCGCGCGTGTACTGAAAGTGGAGTGAGGCAAGGTTCGGTGTGTAGTAGGAAGGCGTGGGTTGCGCACATAGATCATCGAAGCCTCCGCGGTCCTTGATGAGCTCGTGCAAAGAAGAACGAATACCACTGAAGACTTACGCGCAAGGTAGAACTGATACAACAGTGGGTAAGCGCGGTAAATGCACTTGCAGTTGATCAATCTGTGTATTAGACACTCAACTTGGTCCCGGTTGGCAGGCTTGTTTATATACTCGAGCGGGGTATCGCCACGAGAGTAGACCGACGCATTGACTCCGCCATTTGGTAGGCAGTCAAGGTATAGTCGTCTTATTCATTCCTGCAGCCCTTGGTGTTCATATGTCTGTCGTGGGTTTGCTCTCCGGCCCATCGGCCGGGTCACGAGAGCGCGAGACTCCACATGATCTTGTCATCGCAAACTTTCGAGATACCGCGCGCTACACTTCTGTTCGAAAGCAGACACCGATAACTCTTTACAGTATCAGACGGGCCAATAAGCTCCCGAAATCAGTCTCTTGTACTATGAAGGAGCAGCGCAACACTGGACAGCCATGAAAAGTGGATTTAGCGTTTCGACTCATATGCCCAGATCTGGAATAAACATCCAACAATACTCTGGAATCTAGTGACAGTTCGTATACTACCTCGTTTCTTCATCTTGTTTGTTCGAGTCATTTCTTATTCATGTCAACGTTCTCCCAAGCGGACGACAAACATTTGTCTCGCACTCTTGATGGTGATGGCAAATTGAGCGCTAGTGATTATCGAAGACGTTACAGAAAGGAGACTAGCCTAGTTCAGGAGCACCACCGGACTCTTTATCGCTTGCGTTGTTCCTCGATCTAGCTCAAAATCACCACTATTGGTAGGAGATTGTGAATGAACGAAATAAGAACTACTGCTGATCTTCAGCCCCGCCAGTAGTAACAGCCTGGGAGTGTGGCAAGAAAGCTAAATAAAGCCAACCGACACCCGAAATTGATAACTCATTATGAAACTCCTGGACAAAAGGAACGATAACGTTGGCTCGATCTCAAGTATTTATAAGGGACTTTCGCAACCATCGCAGTCCGACGGCGTGAAGTGTCGTCGGATGATGCCCGACGTTTACAAATAATATTAGTTCGCTCCCTGATCGACTTCGCCATCCCCGTACCGGGTATCTGGATTACCCCAGAACACGTGGAGGGAGACCTCAAAATTCGGCTCGGTCTCGATCGGCAAAGCTCTAAGCAAAAGCAAAGTGACGTCACACAGCGCAGGAACGTCCAACCCGCTTGATTAGCCTTGCTTTCCCCGTGAAATCCACCCAAGCGCCCATCTGCAGGGGCCACCCGTGTCACTGTAAATAACTACCCTTGATGCGGCTAACGCGACGCTGCGAAAGGGTGGTATTGATACACCTGCAAATCTGCCGAGGCCAACGCTCGACATCTTTACGCCCCACAACGCGAACACGAGACCGCTGATTAACGCTAGGGGCCAACGACCATGACGATCCGGATACCTTTCCACGGAGGAGGTCCTGTAGGCGCGTGACTCTTAGACTATCTTGTTGACCGCAACAGAGGTCCGACTGGTGAAGATGACTCCTAGGCAAGTTACTCGAAACTAAAATCGTCAACCAAAGCGCGTTTGAGACTTGAGCTGATTCGAGGCAGTTGGAAGCATTCTTCCCCAGTCATGCCGTGGAAACTAACAATATGTGGCTGAAGTCAAGAACGAACGTTTCCGGACGATGCTGCAGGAAGCTTGCATATCCGGCTGACGGACGGCTTACAGCAACCGTTAAGCTGCGAATAAGGCAACCTTCCCACAGACATGGCTTGCTGAACTATGTGTTCTCCACCGTCAATACGAGACCTTTTCAGGATGCTAACGCCACAACGGCCCGCTGCGGAAGGACAGTGCCGGCGACCGAATACGATGGCTTATGGTAAGCATATGGGGTTGGTGGCAAGCAAGTCAGACGTAACCCAGTTGCGAGGCTGAGAAGAAATGATAAGTTTGGCACGTCATCACATCGCGTTAACAACATGGTCACGCCTCCAGTATGCATCTGTCCCCAGACTTCCTACCTAAATGGAGAGTAGTCGGAGGAGTCTGAACTAGCGGGGTGTGTTGACAGTTCGAGTAAGGATCCGCGCGCCGGGCCGCTTCG